GTGGAAGCAAACAAATCTGTGTCATAAAGTGACAGAGTTTCTCTCTTGCTCATGCCAAGTCTGCTAAATGGCTGAGTGATTCTCAAGGGCAGCCCTCACTCATGTGATAGTTCTGCTGTGTGTGCTTCCCTGGTAGCCAGACAGGTCAGAAGAATGTTAGAAATTAAACACTTCCTTCTGGTGGCCAGAAGTCACATGGCTATATCTGTTAATAATTCGAAGGCGGTAGGGCAGTAAAATATCCCCTTGTCCTAAAAGAGGGAAGCTAGAAATATTGGTAAGTACTACATATGTCTTCCCCATGATCCCAAGTTTGTTGGGCAGAGAAGCATTTTAAATAATTTTGGAATTTACATATATTCCTCAAATATATAGTGATAGCTCCATGCCTAAATCCAGGATGCCCATTCTTCCTTAAAGATGTTTGAAAGCCCTGCATTCTCTCCGTACTGTTACAGAGCCACGTTTCAGTTGAATTGTCAGTGCTGAGGAAAGCATTATTTATTTTATTTTATTTTTAGAGACAGGGGTTTGCTATGCTGCCCCAACTGATTTTGCACTCCTGGGCTCAAGTGTTCCTCTTATCTCAGCTACCTGAGTAGCTGGTATTATAGGTGCACACCATAATGAGAAAAGCATTATGATTAACCTAGTAAATTGATTTTTAATGCTGCATTATTTGATTTTCAAGGGCTTAAAAAATCATTTCCAGAGAGCTAGACACAATGAATACAAGCAATGTAATAAGAAAAGTGAGAAACCACATGCTGAATTGCGTATGTAGCAACGCTTGTAAAGAAATGGCAAATCATATCTAATTATTTCATTGTGCTTACATTTTCTCAGTCAGAAACCCTTTGGTATCTAGTGCATTTCTACAGACATTCCATGGTGATTTAATACCAAGTAATATCTACCTGCAGCAAAGTGTTGATAGAGTTTCTAAATTCACAAGGCCGGCATTTTGCAGTGTTGGGCATAACTGAAGGAGCTTTTTAGGTTGCTGCTAAAAGCAACTCAGAAAGATGTGAGGTAGATGTAAAACCTTTTCCAAAGAGACCATCTAATCTTTGGTACTTCTGTAGCAGATTATTTTTAGAAGAGAAGCCAGGAGACAGAACAACCCATTTCTCTAATCCGTGTGTTGTAACTTGAGGCTCCAGGGTATAACACACGGATTAGAGAAATGGGTTGGTCTCTGGGAAGGAATTTACTTGCAATTCTTTAGGGATGGAGACAGGGAGCTTGAGTGTGAGCCCAGTGGAGATTCTCTTTGGAATCTCATCTGTTGGGAGGGTCACTGTCCATTTTTCTTTTCAGCAGGCCTTGGAAAACACCAGGACCAACATCCTGAGGGGAGCTAGCTTCAGGATTTATTAGGGTTTTATTAATTAAGGTATGTATCTCGGGCTTAAACAGTAGCTAACTAAGCAATATGCATTTGTTTTATAAAATATAAAATTTATGGAACAGTATATCAAGAAGAAATGCTATCATTTTATAATATAATGAGTTAATGTAAGTTCTTTCCATACATTATTTCATTTAAACCATATACAAAAATGCAGACGAGGCTGGGCGCAGTGGCTCACACCTATAATCCCAGCACTTTGGGAGGCTGAGGAAGGCGGATCACCTGAGGTTAGGAGTTTGAGACCAGCCTGGTCAACATGGTGAAACCCCATCTCCATTAAAAATACAAAAATTAGTCAGGCATGGTGGCACGCGCCTGTAATCCCAGCTACTCAGGAGGCTGAGGCAGGAAAATTGCTTGAACTCGGGAGGTGGAGGTTGCAGTGAGCTGAGATCATACCACTGTACACTAGGCTGGATGTCAGAGAGAGACTCCATTTTTAAATACAGATGAAGGCCCTGCCTTGATTGTCCTGTTAACAGTTTGTGTGCAGTGGGAAAGCTGAAGATCTGGCCCCCTTTGCTTTTGGTGACTTCACTGCCACCACTTCTGCCTCTGCATCTCTGCACAATCTGAGGAGTTGGTATTATTATTTCCCATTTTACAGATAAGGAAACTGAAATCCAGAGAAATGGAGTGAGTTGGCCGGCCACGTGTACACAGCTCATTTCTTATGCTAGTATTTACTGTGCACACACTGTATATAGGACCCTTTAATAAGCTATTCTAAAAGATTAATCTAAAGGATTAGATATATTACCTCATTTCAGTACCACTGTAACCTGGTGTTATACATATCACTATCTTCCTGTTGAAGAGGAAAATTCTTAAATTCTGAGACATTCGGTAATATGTCTGAGTTATATGTAAAAGCGTAGATTAAAATTTGAGCCTCCTGACTTGAATCTTGTGTTTGTTTGACCATACCACACCTGCGCCTAGCTGTTGGAGGGATCAGAATACCCAAGACCTAGATAACTCTAAATAAGGCCCAGTATGATTTGAGACCTCACGCTTCAGGGTCAGGTTTGTAAGTTCAGTGCTGAAAAGGCTGATTTTTCCTTTGTTCTTCTAGGGTCTGTTTGCTGGATTTAAGATATACTATCACAAGAAATATGACAAAACAATTGTTTTGCTTGCTCATTTTTTGCTTTGTTATGTTTTTCCTTCTTACAAGGTAACTAGTATTCCCAGCACACCGGAAATAATTGGTATGGATGTTCCTGACAAAAGAAGTCTGCTCAAAGTGACCTTTAAATGCATTTTGGTGGAGCGATTATTTAATTTAGGCAGTTTGTTTTCTCAGAAAGGAATTAGCAGGTTCTACAGGCTTTGCTAGCTAAGACCTTTAGTTTTAATCACCTCCTTGAAAACATTCTGAGTAAGATGGTGGGTTTCTTTGTGCTTTGGCCTTTACCCTTTTTTTTTTTTTTTATTTGAGACAAGCTCTGTCACCCAGGCTGGAGTATAGTGTCACAGTCATAGCTCACTATAAACTTAAATTCCAGTGTTCAGGCAATCTTCCTGACTCTGCCTTTTGAGTAGCTGGGATTATAGGCCATAGCCCAGCACACAGCCTAATTTTGTATTTATTATTTTTTGTAGCGATGGGGTCTTGTTACATTGCCCAAGCTGGCCTCAAACTCCTGGCTTCAAGAGATTCCCCATGTCCTGGCCTCCCAAAGTGCTAGGATTATAGATGGGTCTTTAATTTTGAAATGCACAGATTAAAGAGATTACTAACCACTGAATAGACCGCCCTTTTTCTTACCTTATTCAGCATCTACTTTGAGAGAGTCAAACCCAGAATCCCTTTGAATTTAATGGTCATTCCTTGTGATCTGAACAGCCAAATAAGAAACAGGTCCCCTTCAGTGTAAAATCTGCCAAGTATGAGGTCTGAATGGCCCTCATTATTATGTGTTTAATGTGCATAGAAAAGCTATCTGCAACCTTCCGGAGTGTGCCAGAAGTTTGGAATGTACATTATCATTGGCTCCATCTGAAACCAGTCATAAATCAAAGAAAATAGCAGTTCCAGGGTAATCATAGAGGCTTCCAGGGCCCACTCTGTGTGAATCTGGTGAGAAAGGAAAGTCTGCTTTCACTGGACACTGGAACTGTTTGTCTCTGTCTCTGCTGTACTGTTCCTGCCCGTACCTCACTTAATAATGAAATCATCTTTGCTTGGTGACTAAAACAACCAATAAGGTTGAGAAAGGGGAAAACCCACTTCTGCATTTAAATACAAGGTAAGAAATGTTTTTCTCTTTAGTATATCCCACTCACTTTGGGAAAGTGATTTCATGTGATGTATTATTCAAGACTCTGATCAGCAAACATTTTCTGAGTGTATACTATGTTCCAGGTAGTTAGGCCAGCTCCTGGGGATTAAGCTTTGAACAAAACAGGTAGAATCTGTGTCCTCATGGGAGTGGCTAATGGGAGATTCAGAACAAAAAATAGCCAAGGATCATCCAGGAAATGATTTGGTGAATGCTATCAAAGAGAGAATACACATGCTCTGGAAATATGAAGGAGGCACCTAATACCTAATCTGTAGCTGGGGGGCTGGAAAGGGCTTCTCAGAAAAGGCAGAGATTAAAATGGAGAATAAGCGTAAGCTAGGACTAAGCTAGGATGACGTCAGAAAGAGTGTGATAGGCCAAGGCAATAGCATGAGCCAAGACCCAAAAAATAAGAGACAGCGTGGCACATTTGATGTAGGAAAGACATTTAGATGGGATAGAAAGAAGGCTAGTGTTGGGGCTGGATGACGTTACACAGAAGTTTTTAAGCCAAGCTAAGGAATTGATCAAATTTGTATTTTAGAATGTCACTCTGACTTTAGCATTACATGACTTGAAGGGGTTAAACCCATACATCTATAGAGGGACCCATTAGACCAGGACTGTAGTAATATGGTGAGAGACACTGGTGCCTAAGTAGCCTGGTGATCATAGAAATAAAAGGCTACATGTGAGAGGTAGAGCCGACAGCCACTGATAATAGTGGTTAGCCAGGTCAAGGGGACAATGTCTGCTTTAGGTAATTGGCTTGATAGTAATCTCATTTTTGAAGATCAGGAACACAGGCCTGAGAATACATTTGGAGAGGAATATAATTCTGGTTTTGTCATGTAGGGTTTGAGGTGTCTGTGGGACACTATATGCAGATGTCCAGTAGGCAATTGGTTCTGTGGGCCTAGTACTCGGAGGAGAGTGCTAGTCTAAAGGTAGAAAATTGGAAGTCACCAGTAAATAGAGGGTAATGGATGATATGACCTGAGGTGACTCCTGAAGCAGGAACATGGGCTCAATGCCAAGGAGTGCAACCAAGGGACGGGGCACAGCAGGAACCCACAAAGGAGACCAGAAAACAAGAAATAGGGAGAACGCCATGGAACACTGATTCTACACAATCATGGAATTGAAGACAAACAATGTGAAACTAAGTACAGGCCCATTTATATATATATTTTTTTCTTTTTTTTTTTTTGAGACAGAGGCTCTCTCTGTTGCCCAGGCTGGAATGCAGTGGTGTGGTCTCAGCTCTCTGCAACCTCCGCCTTCTGGGTTCAAGCAATTCTCCTGCTTCAGCTTCCCAAGTAGATGGGATCATAGGTGTGTATCACCATGTCAGGCTAATGTTTTGTAATTTTAGTAGGGACAGGGTTTCGCCATGTTGGCCAGGCTGGTCTCGAACTCCTGACCTCAGGTGATCCACCCACCTTGGCCTCCCAAAGTGCTGGGATTTCAGGCATGAGCTAATGGGCCGGGCCTCAAATATTTTACTATAACAAATCAGTTTAGGCCAAAAGAAGTTAGAAATTGAAGCTAATGGAAATAAAGAAGAGGCTTTTCTTTTAGTATCTATAGGGGTATGTGTGTTTGTTATTTAGGGAAGGTAACAGGGAACTTGGATTATATATTATTTATGTTTTCTTAGCTTAGGCATATATGGTATATTTAGTCACGCAATAAGTTTTTTATTTAGAAGTTATGTATAGAGCTTTTTTCTAGGCCAGTGGGGAATAAACGAGAAATATAAGAAGTATCTGCCCTCTGGAAGCTTGTAATCTAGTTAGGGGCATCACGAGTGCATAGCATTCACCAGTAGCAGAGAAGCATGTGATGAGTAGACAGAGCTTATATTGAGAATAAGGTATACAAGAGTTCAGAGGAGGCTGTCATTGATTTTCATCAAAAGTATGGGATAGAAGGACAAGACATAGGGTTGGGCATCTAGTTTTGTGCACTGACTAGAATTTTGCAGGGTTAGGCGTGTTTGAAAACTACAAGGAAGATAGAATCTTGGTCTTGTTCTCCAACATGCCCTTTCTTGAACTCACCAGGGTAATGCTGCATCTTTTCAGAAATGCCTCTGGCTTCTCAAAGCAACATTCATCTTTGGGAGGAACAATTAATCTTTGTCTTTCATTAGTAAAAGATTTAATGGCTCAGAAGGAAAAGCTAGTGGTGACTTTTCAATCACCCCTTCTACCTCCCAGGTTTTTCTGAGAAGTCCCCAAGTTTCTTGTGGGAGAACACGCAATATATTTAGCAAGAAGTTCCTCCTTGCCCTGAAGTATGCCAGAAACAAACTTTGAAAGCTCATGGAAGGTACAGAGAACTTGTGGGTTTTGTTACTTGGCAACTGAGATCTGAGCTGTTAAAATAAGACATTTGCATTATTTTATAATTCTAAAAATGCAATGCATGTTATTTTCTTGTCTAGAGGGGTAACATAAAATTATTTTAGCTTCATTGTTTCAAAATCTCACACTTATTAGGCTGGCTTTCCTGTGCTGTGCTGTTGTGATTACACAGAGTGGATACCTCCTGGACTGCAGGTAAAGCAGCAAGTCTAGCTAGAGTTCCTAGAAACGTCACAAGAGGGCCAAGCAAATATACAGAGAATTGGAATAATTTTTATTAGGGAATTAGGAAAACTCCCTTGCATACATGGAGGTGGAAGAGAACCCTGATGAGACAGAGATCAGAGGAGTGACATCAGGCTGCGATAATAGGAGACATTCTTGCACCTGCTCCACTCCTGCTCCAACCCTACCTTCTCTCTCGTTGCTTGTCCCCACCTCCTTGGCTGCTGTCCCTTTACTTCTGAGGTTGCCTCTGATTCTATGTCCAATGTAGAAGAAAGTATCAGGACACCCATACTTCCCAAATTATATGGACATCCATATTTCCCAAATTACACCTTGGGAATAGTGCTCTAACAAGAGTGAATTAATTGTGAGGAAAGTGGATTTGTGAGAATAGTTTACATAAGTTTTTGGAGAAAATGGGATGGAGGCTAGCTTTGTTTATGAATCGTATTTGGCAGGGCCTGGTGCAGTGGCTCATGCCTGTAACCCCAGCATTTTGGGAGGCCAAGGCAGGTGATCACCTGAGGTCAGGAGATTGAGGACAGCCTGGCCAACACGGTGAAACCCCATCTCTACTAAAAATACAAAAATTAACTGGGACCTGTAGTCCCAGCCACTCTGGAGGCTGAGGCAGGAGAATTGCTTGAACCTGGGAGGCAGAGATTACAGTGAGCTGAGACCACGCCACTGCATTTCAGCCTCGGCAACAAAGCACAACTTGATCTAAAAAAAAAAAAAAAAAAAAAAAAAAAAAAAAAAAGAAGGAAGAAGAAAATGAATCAGACTTAGCAGAATGATTAATTTTGGGTCACTTGCAACTCAAATGTGTATATGTTAGATGTTTTGGGCACTTCTGGGCCCAACGGTGCATCTTATTCCATCCCAAGGTTGTTATACAAGGTTTGGGCTCCTGCAGTCACTTTGCGCATCAGTGAGTCCACAGGAGGGAAGCTCCAGGGGTAAAATGTTCTCACCAATCCCAGTCACCAGCTTACTGCAACTTTGTGGTGTGGTGGGGGCTCATTCATCAGAGTTTAGTAAACGGAGAAGCTAAATTATGATATTGGGATTTTGGTATTATATGCTTGACAAGGAAATGTTGTATTCTGCCTTTTTTTGAGTGCATAATAAAAAGTGTTTTCTTCCAAATTACCTTACGATGATTCTATAGCAAATTCAAGAGGATGTAATTTTACAATATTGATGCATGGGCTAGAATGTAAACTTTATTGTTATGTTCACTGATATAGCTGCAAGAATGGTTTTTGGAGCAGAATGGGTGGGAAATAAATATTTGTCAAATAAATGGCTTAACTGAGCATACTATGTATATAGATAGTATAAAATTGAGTCATTTTTCTGATATTTTATGAGGTTCAATTCTCACTCAAGTAAATGGACTATTTTTCTAAATGAAGGGTTCAGATTATGGCTATTTGTAAATCACAAATTCTGCAACATTAGATATGGGTTATAAAGTTTTCTTATCTGTTATCTGTTTAACAAAATGTTTTCTAAGGATTCTTTTCATTTTAAAAGTCAACAGATCTATGAATGTAGGTTATTTCTCAAGCCTCTTTCACTTATAACATTCCATAATTATTACAAAAGCATACAAAAGAAGAAACACTTCTATTGGCTACTTGATACCTTACGATAAGACTTTAAAAAATTCTGGGAAAGCAGTACCAACTAATCTTTGGTGATTATCCAGATCATCACCACATACAAGGAAAAGGTTCATTGTTGACCTCTGAAAAGCTGATTTTCCAGATGATTCATTAATGAGAAGCTATTATTTATTAATCACCTTCCAGACACTGATAATACTATGACAGTGGCACTTAGATTGCAGTTGAGGAGACGCCCAAAATCCAGTAACTAATAATTACATTGTGGAAAATAATATGAAAGCCCAGGGCACAGATTACCAGGACAAAAAGTAGCTGGGTTCGGGTAGGAGGTGAACTATTTAGATAGGAAGACCAGGGAAGATCTACCTGAAAAAGTCTCACCTGAAAGATGAGAAGAAACTAGTCATATAAAGAACAAGGGATAACCATTTCAGGCAGAGGACACAGTATGAACAAATGAATCCAATTTCAGAGCTTCTTGCATTTACAGATGAAATGATATAACCCCCAGGATTTGCTTTAAAAAAGTTCAGTGGGAGGCAGGGAGGGAGAGAGGCATCTGAGGATATAGATAAACAAGACTGGCCATACAGTGGTGGCCATTGAAGCCACATGATGGGTACATAAATATTTATCATGCTCTTCTTGAATATGTTTGTGATATTCCGTAAAATAAAATCATTTTTGAAAAGCCTTTGGAACTTTATTTATTTGTGGACATAGTTAACTATTTATTAGTTAATAGTTTTAGAAAGATTACCCTCTTTCACTACTCACCGTCTTAAGAATATGAGAATTGACATTCTGGGGAGCTAGTACTTGGAACATCAAGAGGGGAACTCAGTAAAATCTATACCCTCACTCAGACTAATCTCTATTCTAGACATGTCTTTGCATACGTTTTTATAAAGTGAGAGACAGCGTATCTAAGGATGTTTGACCAAGGTTGGTTTTTGAAAAGTCAACCTTATTGAAATATAATTTACATGCAATAAAATTCATATATTTTAAATACACAGGTTCATGACACTGTAGAACATCAACCAGATCAAGATATGGAATAATTTTGACCTCCCCAGAAAGTTTCCTTAGGCCACTTGTGGTCAATTACCTTTCTACCCTACTTTAGGAAACTGCCGATCTGATTTCTATTATTATAGATTAACTTTGCCTTTTCTCTCTCTCTCTCTCTCTCTCTTCCTCCCTCTCTCTCTCTCTCTTTCTTTTTCTGACAGAGTCTCACTCTTGTCACCCAGGCTGGAGTGCAATGGTGCGATCTTGGCTCACTGCAACCTCCACCTTCCAGGTTCAAGTGATTCTCCAGCCTCAGCCTCCTGAGTAGCCGGGATTACAGGCGCCTGCCACCACACTTGGTTAATTTTTGTATTTTTAGCAGACATGAGGTTTCACCACATTGGCCAGTCTGGTCTCAAACTCCTGACCTCAGGAGATCCACCCACCTTAGCCTCCCAGAGTACTGGGATCACAGGCATGAGCCACCATGCTCGGCCAACTTTGCCTGTTCTATAATCGCACATCATAAAATCATGCACTGTGCACTTCTCTGTACTGTCTCCTTTCACTGTGTGATTCAACCCTGTGGTGATGTGTCATTTAAAAAAAATTAAGATATTTCACTATATGAACATACAATGACTTGTTTATTCACCTGATGTACGCTATGTTGATTCCAGGTTTGGGCCATGATGAATAAAGCTGCTATGAACATTTATGTACAAGTCTTTAGTGTATACATGTGCTTTTATTTCTCTTGAGTGAACACCTGTGACTGGGATTGCTGGGTTTTATGCTAAGAATGTTTTTGACTTTGTCAGAAATTGCTAAACTGCTCTTCAAAGTAGTGGTACCATCTTACACTCTCACCAGCAGTGCATCAGAATTCTAGTTTCTCAACGTCCTTGGCAACATTTGATATTGCCAATCTTTAATTTTAGTTATTCTAGTGGGTATAGAGTAATATCACATTATAGTTTTAATTTATATTCCCCAAATGACTAATGTTTAACATCTTGGATGTTCACATATCTTTGTGAAGAGTCTACTAAAATCTTTTGTCCTTTTTAATAAATTGTATTACTTGCCCTCCTATTGAGTTGGAAAAGTGCCTTATTTATTCTGGATGTACTCCTGTCAGTTCAGATGTTGCAAATATTTTCTCCCAGTCTGCTTTTTCATTTTTTTAATGTTTTCTTATGAAGATAGCAGAAGGATTGACTTTTGAAAAAGTCAAATTTAAGCACTTTAAAATTTTTAATTAGAAAATTATCTTTAGTGATTTTTCCTTTCCTATCTAAAAAATCTTTGCATACCACAGGGTCGTCCTACATGTTTGGATCTGTTTCAGAACTTTCTACTCTGTTCCACCATCTTGATTGCTATAGCTTCATGGTTAAGTTTTAAAATCCAGTAGTGTAAGTTGTCTTTTTAAACATTGTTTCTCCCCCTTAGATTCTTTTCTTTTCCATGTATACTTTAAAATAAGTTTGTGAATTTTGTTTAAAAAAAGCTTGGCAGGATTTTGATTGAGATTACATCAAATCTATAAATTTATTTGCTAAGAATGAAGAATAATACTGAGCCTTCCAATCCATAAACGTAGTATTATCTTTATTTTTCAACTCTTTAAAAATTTCCCTAGCAATATCTTACAGATTTCTGTGTAAAGGTCTTGCACAATTTTTGTCTAAATTTATTTCGAAATTTGTATGTCTTTTGAAACTATTGTATGTGGCATTCTTTTGAAATTTTCTTTTCCAATTTTTAAATTTAGTTTCCAGAGGGTTATTTCTGATTATATTGAAATTATCTAGCACCTTTGCCAACTTAAACCATATCACTACCAGTTTCATGAAAAAAAGACGCAATTAAATTGACTCTATTCTGCAGCTGAAAATGGAGGCACCTCAAGCTGAAATCATTTGCATCATACCATACGATGCGCACAGTGCCTCCCAGACTTTTCGCCATGCCTCTTTCCTTAGATGGAAGAGAATTGGATAGCTGTCACTATGTTCTTAACACTACTTGGAAATGGGAAGGGGATACTTTCCTACTCTGTGCTGAGAATGTCCATAGAAGGGAGCATAACCTGAGGATGGGTTGGGGAGAAAGAAGCAAAATCCTTTGCTGTGATGGCTGAGGGAATGCATAGTGAATGTCCTGCGTTGTGTTTTTTACAACAGTCATGTGCTCTAGAGGTCAGTCTGAGCTCTTTCTGCTACTTTCCCAGAAATATTTTAATTCTCTAGGTTTAAGACAAAGCTTTGTGACTTAGTAGTTGAGTAAGTTTGTGTAATTTGTTTGAGGACACTCA